CGGTGGTTTTGGCTGCCACAGTTTCGTTCACCGATGATTCGGGGAGATGGCGTAGGTAGCTGCGCACACTGTAAATACCGTGGTTTACAAACGGTCTAAATACAAGCTGTTTTCCTGGAAGAGACTTCGCAGTATCAAACCACTGCATTCAGAATTTGTAATTATGTTAGGCAGACGAGCACAAGTCTCCTAATGTGAAGTTGCCTCTCAAGAGAATTTGAAAAAATGTGAGGACCCGTTTGTTGCTGTAATATTAACCGCCGGACGCGCTGTCTGGTTGATATAGCAACGGATTCAAGGAACTCGAGAGTGGATGAACGGGTCACACTGAAGCATCGAGAGGGCAGCACAATTTCGATCCGAACAAAAACAAATGAACCAGAAACCGCTGTCGCCACCAGCAACCCTCAGAGGGGAACAAAATGACTCGTCAAACAGGTCAATTTCAATATCAATAATGGCCACAATATAGATTATTTGACCAATCCAGAACAGCCTCCTAAATCCAACAGCTACAATAAGAAACTAAACCGAACGATATTCCAATTCATCATGACAGCAGAATAAGACTAACGACGTTATACCTGTTAGAGAAGAGAATGATAAATTGCTTTAGTATGGACGAAGCCATCAGTATTCCGCAAAGTGACAAAGGAAGAATAACAACCTCTCTGGACAAGAAAAACGCATCGACGAGGCCGGAACTTTGCTTAGTGACAACTCAGAGGTGCACCGTCGGGATAATCGAACTTGGCTTTTATTGCAGAGGTTACAATACAGAATATGGAGCAGGTTTTGTTATCAAGTGTCAACCAAAAATATGGATGCGATACGTAGACGACAGTTCGCTTTTATGAAAGGTGAACTTTTACGAACCAGTTGCTGAACAGAGCGTCCCCTAACATCCACGATACATTGGAAACGGAGCGCAACAAGCTGACGCTTCTGGATGCACCGGTCAATTGAGCGACAAATGGCCGACTGAAAACACAAGTATACAGCAGGCGAACGAAGACGAACCAACTTCTGGACTACTTTAAAATCCATCAAAACTATCGCAGATGAAACTGTGTGCAAGCATTGGCTAAACGAATCGGGACGCAACGTGGTCGAAGAGCAAAGATGATTTCATCAGATAGTCCACAATAATGGCCGAGGAGCTTTATCTGGAGATCGTTACGAAACAAACATAAGACCAGAAAAACAGGATTACGCTTCCACATATCGAAAACACCACCGGAGCGATTGCAACACGCTCACAGTAAAACAGAATAACTTTCATCTTCAAGCCTGCACACACGAAACCAAAAGGAATACCGAATGTAGTGAAAGCAGTGTCACCAAACAAATTCATTGTAACGACTGAGACAAATACTGTGGGTCAAAATGGAAGAAAAATGGTCATCGGAATGCACAAGCTTGTCCTGGCTTTCATCCGCACAGACTGAGGGCTATCAGGTCATCTGGTATCATGTTAGATACTTGATCCCAGGCTGGACATTGAAATGCGTGAGACATCAGACGAAGCAACATAAAGAATAAATACACCGAACCAAAGGAAACTACCTAAAATGGAAGGCTGTCTAGTCAATGAAGAAAATGCGACAAAACCGGAATGTAATGTAGTAAGGACTAATGAGGACGGAGGATAACAACCATTGAAATAAAGATATCCAAGTTGAGTGCAGGTGAATGAACCCACAATATAACTCAGATTCTAATCAAATCCGCCCTGCAGCCAGCTAAGCAAAGCAGTTAGTAGAAGCTTCCCTTAGAAACTGCATAAACGTAAGCAGAGTAGGAAATACCCATACAACTGCACATTGAAGGTACCTGCTCGACTAGTGACGAAACGTCTGTCGCCTAACTGCCAGGCTGGGAGAATAAATCAGCAACCAATCCGAATAGTCCACCTAACTGTCACCCGTTACTTATTTTGACCAATCAGGCTGTAGGAGGATGAGTTCAGGCTACTAGAGCGCGAGTAGTGTTGGATCTTGAGACGGAGCTGGATCACCGGATGAGCCGTAATCACGCTTCTAACCGATACAGTCTTCCTCAGAATGCTAGTCCGGGTAACCACGGCAAAGTCCGGTAATCAACAGAACTGAAGTGCAATAGCTGCGTTGCATGTGTGCGCGCGCGCGTGCTGACAGATTATAACTAACTTGAGCGAGTTTATCTGTGGGAGACAAACCTAGCTTCCAACAAGAGCTTTAAGGGGTGATAATCAATGTCTCAGTCGATGAACAAGTAATCTCTGACGTGGAGAAAGAAAATCATACTGAGGAATTGAAGTCATTCTTGGCTCACCCAGTTGCCGGGTATAGACAGGACTCGGAGAAATGAAATTCAAAAGAGATCTCTCCTGTTTTTTGAACGGCAATTTATTTGAAGGAAAACAATCGGACATCACCAAACATTTGTGGCTAGAGAGAATAAAAACATGCATCTTCAGAAGAATGGAAAAAGGATACAACGATGAGTTACAGCAAAAATGAAAGCCTCAATATGAAGACTTTTAAACCGCTCCTCGGTGTTCGTGAAACGAACGCTGTGATTTGGGACAGGATGCACAGGAGTGTGACAGCCAATAATGATCGCCTAGTGAGGGACAGGATGCACAGGAGTGTGACAGCCAGTAATGATCGGCTAGTGAAACTCAATTCACTTGTAGCACGTGTGGTTAATTAAACATACAGGCTACTGAAGGATACAGTTACAATGTCCATCAGCTTTCAAACACAGGGACTCAACCTGACTGGAGTGACCCACCCGACGGGCGGGTCAATCAATCGGCGCAATCATGGCAGTTTAGGGGGGCGTCGCTCGAAGCGTCTGGCACAGCAATCACAACGCTCAGATGTGAACACATTCGCCTGCTCAGATGTGATATTTCGGGTGCATCCGGCAGCGCTGGTGAAGTAGTGGAAACACGCTCACCTCGTAAGTCAGATGCCCGGAGATTAAATCCCAAAGATATGCGCCACTGAGCTCTAACAACAGCGAAACTCACCCTTTTGGTGTGGACTTACGAGAAAATTGTGCCCAATTGTGCCCAGACAGGAGGAGAGATGGCTGTGAATCCTACAGTTTATTTACCCGAATCTTTGACCCGATAATTTGCAGAACACGCATACGAATAAAAATTTCGAAACAACACCAAATCCAAGTCTTATGCTGAAAGGTGTGGAAGGTTATCCAAACCTTACTTTGAAGTCGTAAAGCTACGTGAGCGAAATACAAAAATAACCCAGCCCAATAGCCAAACATTTGTTTATTGTTTAAAAAATCAGCAATATAATCTAATTCTTTTCGTCTCATCATGTCAAGTGGGATTAGAATGAACCAGTAGTTCCCAACCTGGAGATCGCGGAGCTTCCCTCCGTGGGTCGCAAACGGTTGAGCATGGGTCGGCGTGGTTCTTATGGGGTAAATTGGCACACATGTTCTGCCGTTAGCTTGAAAGACCAAGCCGGGTTCGTTTCACCAAACCGCTCTCATCCTGAATGGAGCGGGTTCAACTGCTGAGCTATCCTTGAGCTACGTGATGAGCTCTTGGATCAGTACAGTTATCCTTTGATTCATAAAACGTGATTGACTCAGTCCTTATATCTAACCTCACCACCACTGTCTTAAGCGCTAAGGTCCCACAAGTTCCCACCAAGTCAACCTTAGCGCATTAGTAAACAATATGGACCATTTCAGCGATTAGATTCTTCCATGGTGGTACGATCGTACAGCCGTAGTGAACCAGCTAAACCTTTCGGTGCAGTGTGATCACCCAATTACTGTTTACAGTAACCAGCAGCACTGTATCTGTCCACCTAGTCTGGTCACGTAGCAGATTAAACCGCACAGGACAGCGCCAACCAGGGCACATATCCGAATGTTTGGATGCAATGCTAATTAATGTGAGTGACAATTAGCCTGCGTATTTTGAACGACATCAAGTTTGCGGAATGGGAATTCCACCAATCCTCGCAACTAAGCTTACAGCCAACTGGTGTAGAAGCTGAAATAAGTTTCATCGAATGGCTTCCGCGATGGCCGACGGCTTGGTGATTACAAAAGTGGATCATGACATAAAAAAGGTTGAGAACTACTCTGGGTGTTTTTCGGTTAATCCCAGCATCAGTAAGGGGGACCCCGGCACTTAAATCACCAGTGGTTAATGACATTGGCTGAAATGGTCCAATCCCGCAGTCAGTGGCGCTCGTGTATCAAAGCTATTCAATGCGTACCTACCCCAATTCTGAACAACTGAACATGCCAAGGTTTGGTTGTATGTTCCACTTCCCCGTTTTTCGGTGATCGAAACTGTAGAAGCTGGAACCAACGTGCATATGGTACACGGTTTATAGCCGATAAACCGAATTGAATTGAAAGTGAAGTACGGGGACATCAAATGGGTATTCTAAGTAAAAGGTTTTTTCTCTATATATGCGTTCTCCTCGAGGTCATTCATTGCAACTGAGGAGCGGTTTGCAGTGCGTGGAGAGCAAGACTCGCAATCCATATGTTCAAATGTTTGACGCACTGCCATTGTCAAACACGCGGAAAACGTTGGAAAATACCGTTTTTAACATTAGCATATGGAATCAAGGTTTTCGACTGTCCACTCTGGGAAGCTGCGAGGAAACAACCCAGAGGACTCCTGGGTGGAAGCTGCCCTGAAATAACGGTCAGAAGAAGTCACTCAAGACCGAAATCCAATAATCTGTAGAAAGCAAACATAAAAATGCACCGTTCTGTTTCACCGTCAGAATGATACGAATTGGCAACAAATGCTCACGCGGCGCTTTCCCCACTTTTTCACTTTACAAGCCAGTTTTCTTAAAAAATGTCTTCCTGGTTGAGTAGTGTACTTTCTACTGGATTAGCTACCCTCCCCAAGTGGTCTTGGAACAACTAACACAGGACAGGTGGCTGCTGTCCCCGAGAGTCCGCTGTAACATCCAATGTGGTTGAACAATTTGAAATCAAAAGAAAGGGTGAGTTTCGCGACAAGTGTATACATGGGAGAGGAGAGCGAATCACAGATACAATATAGATGAACGGGTGTATTGGTCGCTTTTGCGTCAACAACAGGCGGGGAGAAATGCCTTCAAGGCAAAACGAACGCCGTATTGTCGAAATGAATGAAATTACGAACGCAAACGAAGTGAATGAAGCTAAAACATTTACACAGAGGAAGGAAATATTTGATAGTTTTTTGTTTCTAGCGAGTGGAAACATTGCTGTACCAAAACATAAGCAAGCGACTGAGCGACTCTATCTGCCCGGACGGTTATAATAAACACATGAGAGTTTTGATTAGCGCAGCGCAAACAAGTATGAGCAGGCAAACATCTTTTTCAGATCTGCTTCCGTGGACGTAAAAACGGGCTGGAACACTTGGCCGAATCCATTGGCATGATAACTGGAGATATCACGGCTAAAGAGTGGGGAGCTGAGAACCGGTGTAAAACAAAAAAAACTGGATGGAGCAAAGCACAGTGCCACCGTTGCCTTAGACAGTCTCAAATGAAAGAGGACAGAAAGCGCGTGTGTTGAACATGTTTTCCAAGCGACTGGCGATGGATACGGGATAACAGAGAGAAGAAATCAAACTGAAAAGTAATCAGGCGTCTGACTAGGAAATCATGAGTAAGAGTCGGCTTGGGTGTGCTTCTTGAACCCCAGGCGAAGCTGATCAAGACAGGAGTGAAGGGGCAGAAACGGTTGGAGAGCTGCCGTTCGAAGTGAAACAGGCAGACTCGCCAAGACGAGGCTCATCGGAGAGAAACGGATTGCCAGGCTTGTGTGCCACAGTGACGCTTGTCGTTGAGGTAACCCGATCTGCCCACCCAACGTCGAAAGGGTCAGCAAGGCGATCCGGCTCCGGGGGTAAAAGAGAAGGCAACGGGGTTGACCAACTGGATGTAGGCAAGGTACTGGGGAACCACGACGTCAGCGACATTGAGTTTGGTGCAGCTGGAACAAGAAGATAACAGGTTTAAAAAAGTAATGGCATACACAGGAGGCTTAATTTGCGGTAGCAGTAGTATTAGTGCTAGAATTCGGGTTGAATTTCCTATGTTCGCCTTCCGGACGGCTCGCAAACACACTCGTAAACTTGCCTTAGTGGGAATAACATCACTTAAACCTGGTGAGCAGTTCGTAGAACTACCAGAGGCAGACCAATAACAGCAGTCGAACTGACGTCTAAGTGCACGGGGTATTGAAATGGCCGTGCAGTGACGGAACGACCCATCCTCAACTCACACTCAAGCCTCAGCTATGATTCTACGCAGCGGTTAAACGAGATGGATAGAATGAGAACATCGGAGTCTCGTTTTATGAATGCACGTCAGGCAACAGCACAGTCGGCTTATTAAGAAATGGCCAGTACAATTGTGCACGAGAATATGGAAGCCGTTGAGCCTTACTACACTGGATATGCAACAAGTAGAGATGCAGTCTTCAGTAAACAAAACTCCTACAAAAATTCATGTAAAGTCAGCTGCAGTTAAAAAATTGAACTGCACGAGCTAAACTTGAACGTGGCCTCGTATCTGACACAGCCGAACACGTGCACAACTTTTTCCAACGCCTGAGCTGTTTTTAGCGACTCTTCATGAAGATACAGGGACAGTGCTATTCACGGCTTTGTTCCGAATCGCCCGAAGACTACCACAACACATCACACTGAAATGACATTGATGAAAATTTGGGGGCCACGCCCAGTTGATGAAAACTAAGAACGCAAGCGACTGTGGATGGTTTGAGAGCTTTATGAAACCTTGTAAATGGTGCTGGGTCAAGAAAAATGCCAGGTAATCTTTTTCGTCAGCATTGTGGTGACAACCAAAACAACTGTTTTTTCCCGGTTAACAATGACCGCATAAATCACTTCGTTGTCACGACAGCTTTGATGCGATTACAGGCGTAGGTACAGCAATGCGTGACACTGTGGCGCACATTACCCGTCAACGATGCAAGCTAGAATGGCGGTTTATGTGGTCGGTCACAAAACACCTACACAGACCACGCTACAGGTGAGTGGTAAGTGAAACGACAAATCCCAGCAACTACTCACAAGGTTATTTAGGTTTATGTGGTCGGTCACAAAACACCTACGCAGACCACACTACGGGTGAGTGGTAAGTGAAACGACAAATACCAGCAACTACTCACAAGGTTATCTAGATATCTTGAATATCATACCAACTGAAACATGAGGCAGCCTTTGTGCAACAAATTCAGCTGAAGCATATCATAAACAAGAGGTTCGGTCGAATCTCTCATGGAAACCGAATCGATATGCAAATAAGTGCATTTGTCGAAATCGTAAACAAGAGGTTCAGTTGAATCTCTCGTGGAAACCGAATCGATATGCACATAAGTGTATTTGTCGAAATATGTCCGATTCGGGTTCAAGTAGATCATAAAGTTGACTGAAATTCGGGGACTACGCCTGGCCAATGGTCCCAAGAAGGGCGAAACTGATGGTGGACTGTCGAAGAGTTTTCACAGCTTGATTCCATTTTCAGTTGGACAAACTGCATTTTTGAACGCGCTTACAGCCGCCGAAAGTGGAGAAAGAAAGTACACTAGTCTGGTTTGTTGGCAGATTACGCGCACAACATAATGCAGCATTCGGGTGCATATGAAAGCCAGTAGAGGAATGAGTAAGCGTTGGCCCTACAGTGGGGTTGATGAATAGGGGTCGAACAATTAATCAATCATCCACCTGTAAGACCCTTACAGTCCATGGCTACCACGCCACATGTGAGAAGCATGGAGCTGAGATAATACCAAGTTCTCCAAGCTTGAACGGGAGCAGTCAAGATGCCAGTGTTGGGTGCGAACCACTGACCTTCTGGTTAGCACAAGTCCGCGCCTTAAGCACTGAGCTATCTCATATTGCAACTAATTGCTTTCCAATCGCATGCCTGGTCAGCACACACAGTAACTTGAGAACGGTATCTGAAATACCCCAAGAGAGCTGAGCGCACTTTACCAGCTCGCTGTGCCTAGTTCGCCCATGTTTCTCGGAACAATTCGATTGTAGAAATCATCGGAGTCGCTTTAATCAAACAAATGGGAGACAATAACAAACAGATGGTTAGCAGGAGATCTTCACATAAAAATGAACACTCCCAGAATGGAACCACTTCTGCCGTCGGCAAAAGTTTGCTGAACAGACAGTTGACTGATGGATACGTGTTGAACAAGGCTCATCGCTAAATGATGGACAGGTAGCAACACCAACATTGAGTGATACCGTTTTTTCTACCGGGGACATTAAGAAACGTTATGGACTCAAATGAAGAATTCTTCACGCACAAAAAACATATCAAGCAAGCTGTGGTGTCTCACCAAATATGACCAAGGAAAAAACATTTGGGGCACATCTGACACACTTGTTCCACTTTCACCAGAAATCCAATAAACGATTATACATCGGTTTCGTGTAGAACCACCGCTAATTCATGGAAATCTTATTATCCTGCCCGGATAGAGGTCGGTGCGATTGCATCAGCTGTGCTTCCTCTTGAACAGATATCATGGTCCGACGGATAACCAGATATCTTTCTGCAGGAAGACTGCAGAAAGTAATGACAAACAAGCAGTTAGAAGAGCTGGACCAAGACACTGCCACTAGACGCAGTTCGGAATAAGTTTCCCACAAAATGGAGTTCGATTCGCACCTGTACCATAGTTAAACGCAGAAAAAAGACTGAAAAACGAACCCGAAAATCCAGCAGTGTACGCATTCACAGCGAACCCAGAGTAGGGATCCGTCGAAGAGAACTGGGGAGCAATAGGATTGTATGGGGGCTGTGTGGTGGAGAGGCGCATCGTTGTCCCATTGCTAGGCCACGCACTGGGAGCAAACGAGGTGGACATCGGAGCAGCAATCGGTGGACCGCCAAGGAAAGGTGACGTAGGTGCGCAACCAGGAACTGCAACCATGCTTGATGTCGTTAAAGTGTATTGAGCTTGAGTACTTGAAATGACGGGCTAAAATGTGAAAGGTAGATAACACGTCAAAGATACGCGCAAGGACATGATATTTAGTCATGGAAAACACCGCTATTCACTTTTACTCAATTATTACCATTGGCTGGGGAGAAACACTTGGGTCAATTTGTAGTACAGCAGCACAACTGCATATTTCAACTGGTCGAATCATAAGCAGGCCAACGATTAAATTAAGCAGCAGACCACTCATTCATATCACGAAAGATACATCAATCATCCAGACCGACATAGTGAGACTCAGACGGGGGCCGGAGTATGTGTTCTGATGAGAACCCTCTGGTCGAGTCAAGTCAACCGATCCGTATCGGTCAGTAGTAAACCCATTGTATTGTGATTTATCAGCACCGTCCTGCTGACGATTTGCTGAGCTCGGGTAGAGGAACTGGTCAAAGACCATCGCAGTGCTGTTGTGTAATTAGGTTTGCATTCAGTGGTAACAGTGATTTGAGATAAGGAACGCTCGAACAGCACTGATCCTGATCACGTACATAAAAGTGTCGACGTTACTGCGTAGTACAACGGTATAGAACAGGTAAGATCCCTTACAGAGTACAGAACGAAGTCAAAAAGGTAGGTCATGTGCACATGGACTCAATCACAATGCAATACAGTTCACCAACGTTATAAAAGCACAGTCGGTTTCGCGAAAAAGTGCCGATTAACCTTCCTGGGATTTTTTGGCAGTCATGAATCCGAAATAGAACAGAGTTTGTGGTAAAAGCGTGTAAGGACAGAAGAAGAAGCGCTGAGTAGAATAGAACCAGTTTTGAGAAAGTAGAGATCCCTGTCAATACCGCTGCCTTAGTTGGAGTAGCCTGTTTGAAATCCGGAATTCCAAGTGTGAGACTAACCAGTCAGCATCGTAAGCAACTTTCTGGGACCGTAAAGTTCACCTGTTTCCAGCGGTGATGAAACTTGTGTGTGGTTTATTGGTTAGCGGGTATTTGCTGTTTGTTCTTTCACGGACATACTCAGGAGAGACTGACTTTAGCGCAGTTCTGTCATCACCGCAGCTGCAGACGGATTGGTAGTTAGCAAAAAGGGACTTATCCGCCAGCACCACGATGACTTACTCCAACCATCAGAGAAGTCACGTTTCACTGAATTATCGTCCATAGCAATTTTCTAACCTCCATGTTTAAGTTTGTATCAGGATACGGAGTCAGAGGTAAAAAGCACAAAAAGAAAGCGCCGTAAATGTAAGCAGTGAACTGCTAAAAGACTGAGCCTTCCAACGTGAACTAGGTCGAGGCTCTTGAAACTAGAGGAGATCGCTTGGTTGAATTTGACGATGACTGTTAGCAGGTCGCAACCACTGCACATCTGTCGAGGCCAAAGGGCCAATCAAAGCAGCCCATCTGGTTGCACTTAGGTTCGACGAACAGATCCTGCTACAAACAACTGCCAGAATGCACGGGTGAGAAATCAGGCGGCAACTGGCCGTGCCTGAATCAACCTGATTCCAACCTAGTTCTCTGTGCAACAGAGAACCAGAGTATTCTTATCACGAGAGTGGACAACAGTAGACAAGTAAAGCACATAAAACATAAATGCGCAATTCAGTGGAAAAATCTTAGGGAAGTCGGGTCTTGACTGTGTCATGACAACTGAATTTTCGCACAGATGTGTATATGACAAGAGTAAGTTATGGCTTCATTGTATGGTTCTCGCGACGAGAGATTCAAGTGAAGAAACGCATTCACTCACAACTCAACTCGGTGGCAAAGGGAGATTCAACTCAATCTCAGCTGAATCTCTCATTTATGATATACTTCAGATGAATGTGCTGAACAAAAGCCGCGTCATGTTTCGACTAAGTCCTTCGGCAGCACCAAGCTAATTTGTAAGTGGGTGTATTCAACCACTTGTGTCCAATATGGGTTCAAGTAAAACGTAAGGTTGACGAAAACTTGACGAGTGTACCCACCCACCCCAAGAAGGAAAAACCAATCATTGGATGTTGGAGAGTTTTCAGAAACCCTATGGGTGATGTGCTCTGTCAAGAAGATAACAACACATTTGAAAAGCAATAAGTGAACATCAAAATGAAGATGATACTCACAGGTGAAGAGTTTCCTGACTCAGAATATTAAACAGTGGACAAGGAAATGTGACAGCGAAGGTGCCAGATGATAAGGAAGGTGAAAAACTACACACACCATGTGAAATTCGGAGGATAACGAAATACGCATGACTTTCTACTAGAAAGCTTTCTCAGTCTCGGGAAAGCTGTTTCAACGCCAGCAGTTCAAACGAAGCTCGTAGGTAAACTTGCCCCAGATATTTGGAGCACTTAGTACCAGGAAATCCACATAGAGCTAAAAGGACATTCTGTGGAGTCACTCATTGGAGTGAGAGAGAAACAGAGAGCAACAGAGCGATAAAAAACTCCACTGTGACATCTAGACGTGACATACTACTCACAAGGTTGCTGAAGACTATTCGACAGCCCATGACCGGTTTTGCCCTTCGTCTTCGGTCCCATTAAATATGCATAGCCCATGAGTTTTCATTAACCTTATATCCTACTTGAAACCAGAATACAGTGGAAAAAACTTAGGAGATGATCAACTCCATGAAGAACAAGGTGAAAGGAAGTAGTAAGCCGATGTTATCCTTTGATGTTTGATCTAAACTCGGATAGGACGAGCGAACACCCGAATACGAGAAAACTCATCTGGACTGATGAAGCCAATTTTAACCTGCACTATAATCGTAGTTATGGTCACCCCTAAAATAGTTGGGAGCGAACGCTATCATGTTCTGTCAAGGAAGTATACTGCGATATCTCGAATATCGTACCAACTGAAACATGAGGCGGCCTTGTACAGCAAATTCAGTTGAAGAAAACTCAAAATTAGCAGGTAATTGAACTGGATCCAGTTGAGTCTATCGTCGAGAACAAATCACTTCAACGTATGTAAAAGAGTTGGGTCGTAGGTTCATTTCGCATGAGGAAAGCAAATCACACAAAGTTGTCCCAGAATGATCAATAACGCACTGGGAAGAACGACTGTGACAAAAAAACACAATCATTAGCATTTCTAGAAACGCCAGCCGGTCGAACAGCATGAAAGAAATCAGTGCATCAGGTGGAAACATTGAAAAACTGTAGCTTTAGAAATACGAGTATTGCTGGGGCTGGGCAGGGAACACTGCCGTACTGCTCATGCGTACCGGAAGTGAGGTGAATAGTGATCAGCCAATCGATAAATGACAAAGAACAGCCACTAGTGGTATGAAAAATACTAATGAAGAGTTGGTATCAGTAAAATTAACCACAGAACTACGACTGTCCAGAGACGGAGCACTGGATAGAACGACAAAAACCAGGGCATAAAGTGCACCCGGATGGGTCGTATAAGCGAATCGGGAAAGACAGGACAAGAAAAGTGAGGGAGAACACCAAGTGGTGCCATCAGGTCGATACTTTGCACCCGCTCTGGTAATCAGTCAAATAAAAACGGGCCCTTGATAATTCAGTATGAAAAAAACTGGTATTAGCAATGTTTAGTATAGTCTCATTCAACTGGTGCGCACAATATGCAGAAAAATGCTGTCCTGGCCAGATAATTTAGGTAAACCTATGATATACTGACAAGAGCGGATTGTCTTTTCGAAGAGGTGTGAGGCTACTAATGCAGTGGAATTAGATAGAAATCTCTGCGTTTTGAGCATCCAGATCAGATCAGTGGGCATCCATGCTGCCCGATAGATAAAATTAATGGAGTCCCGAGCTCGAGAGAGCTCAGTGGTTAGGGCGCAAAATTATTGATCGGAAGGTTCGTGGTGCGAGCACAACCTCTGCATCTCAACCCTCGTGCCTCCTCCGAGTGACATGGAAGACATGCGCCGGAAGAGCATTCCAACTGAACAGTTATTACTCATACAACTGCACATATTGTTCGATGAATGTAGACCCACTGGTTCGGACAGTGAAACAGACTTCGACTTCGTAAGTTCCTGTATATAGGATGCTACAACCTTCTGTGTCCTCGATTTCACCAAAGATTCATGAAGTCAGCCAATCCACTAGGAAAGGATTATTCCCAGTGACAGAATTAGTTGTGGAAACCAGATTACAAAAATCGATATTGTGAACAGGCTCGATTGAGAGTGGAAGACAAAGGAAGTTTTCGACCGTGTGACGCATCGTTCACAGGCTAATCCGTGCATGGTAGCTATGAAGGACGGATAACACAAAAGAGAATACAGAAGAAGAAGGCAAAGACAATGAACAGGTCAAAAGTTGTAAAAAGGTCACGGAGTTTGGAGAAATACAAAGCAGGAGGGCTAGTGAATATACGACTGAACTAAATTCTATTCCTGGTTGGATCACGAAGACCCGAGAACAGAAACGACTTGAGGCTAGTTCTAATTCGGTCATCTGTTACGGCATGGGAAGGTTTGCCAAAGATCCTGCCGGTAAAAAAAAGATTTTGTTCAGGAATTCGTCCAACGCACTGGAGCGAAATTAAAGTCGATGTATCAATAGGCAAATGAAATTTTGCAAAAGGTAAACAAAGACCTAGATTTTGAAAAGACATTCAAACATTCCACATTATCAATAAAGTACATGTAAGCAGATGCTATTCAGTCCGAGTAGATCATCTTTTTGTTCTTCAAAACAGGGGCGAATCAGAGGTAGCTTTAGGAGGGAATAGCAATTAAAGTGGCATAACGATCGCTGCTCAAAAGTGATTTCTGGACTGCTACTACACAAGTATTGCTTTATTTATAGAAATAGAAAATGGTCACCCTTGGTACAGATTGACCTAGCGTTAATAGATGCAATAAGTGGAGTAGATATCTTCGGTATGGTTTTGGATGGCTCAGGGGTTAAGGCCAAACGTTCCTCAGCAAAAATAGCGTGCTTGAACCCAAATTTTACAACACTATAGCTTCTGAATAAGCCTCGACAAACTAGTAGTATCTCAGCTCTCGTGCTTCCTTCGGGTGGCATCGAGGTGTTCCAGCTGAACCAGTTTACAATAGGTAAGCTGGTAGCTCTACGATTACCACAATGGGACGAGTCCGACAATTCAGGTTTCAGTGAAGGTACGAACTTCCAGGAGAGTAGCTGCAACATTTCACTGAGGCCCCGAACAGTTGAGCCGAAAGCGGTAGCCCATACAAGGCGATTGACGTAGACTGCAAGCGGTTCTCTGTGATTCAAGGATAGGAAAGAATCCGTTCTGAAAGACAGGTACTTTTTTCATCTCGAAATGCATCGAGAATCCAGAAGAGATCCTTCTGAAAGTCGGTTCAAAAGTATAAACTAACCAGACAAACAGACTCAAATACACTGTTCGTTACGCAGGCTAAGACAGTTCGTGCTATGCGGCGGGGCCGTTTAACTAAACCAAAGAAGTCGAAGGACAGTAGCAATTTTGAGAGCTAAGCCATTGTAGGTATCGAATGACTAGCAAAAAATAGTGCGAGGGAATGCTGGAAGATTCATTGAAAATTCGCACAGTTCAACCGGCATTCTTTTGTCTCGTTTTAGTTATATCAAGGACTTCGAGGCCTCATCCTCACGGGTATCATCCGGTCTCGCTTAACGAGATTTGAGAATCTCAACTGCGACCGACAGAGACTGATTAGCCCAAAGAAACCTCCGATGTAAACAAGCAATCAATATAGACGACATTCCAGTTCAGCGCTTTAAGGAAGCTATAGGACACAAGACATCCTAAACGCCGAAAATGGATAATACTGGATCAGATCAGCGAATCACAGACTGATCTCCAGAAGAACAACCAATCAAGAGGGAGAGGGTTCTGACTTCTTTTGATGAGCAGCCTCACTGAAAGACTTGTCAAAGACCGAACGAGCCTACAGGAATACTTCATTCCACAAAAATGTCCCGTATTTTCATTGGAGTTTTCCTCCTACCGTGTACATAGTACAACTCATATTCAACCCTAGACTTCATCTGAGTTTCAATGATCCTCCAAAGCGAACTCTTCACAATAACTGTCTGGTTGAATGACGTTGTTTTTGGTCTCCACGCCACCTTAAACGGCGATCCAACCACAATGTTTATTCGCTTTCAAAGTCGTCCAAACCACAAGTAAAACAGTGCCATAAAATAAACACTAATCATAGAAATCCTTGGAAAGTTGTATGATCCGCCGGTTGACAAGGTTTGGGTGCGTTGACTTGAGCAAGAGGGAAAAACGTTAGTTTTGTTCGAAACATCAATGTTGAAGATAAACACATCGCTTTCACTGCTTTTTTGAATATCCACTCCTTTTGTTGAAAACGCATCTGCCCGTCTGTAAGTGCTTACGGCTCAACAGAGGAAGAAACACTTGGGGCGACCCACCCGACATACAGACACTAACAACTACAGGCAGTAATTGAATGGTAATAGCAACGGAAGAGGACACTACAAACAGTGCTTGGTTGAGAACCTCGGTAATTCGATGCACAACAGATACATGTCACGGCGATGCCACAGTAACGTTAATCACTTCAACAAAACATGCCACTGAACACAGCGGAAGTGCAACATTAGGAGGGCATGTGAAGGAGTAAACTTAGGTGGACGGCAGTTCGGTCGCTGAACTTACACAAGGTGTGCACGGTGTCCGGAAAACGTTCCGCTGAACGATCGATTGACCAGGCACAAACATCCATTAGACAGATATCCGATGTTTATAAAACAGTTACAACTATGCAGCTGGTTTGAGGACAGCTACGCCACGCAGCGGACGGTGGGACCACATCTACTCTGTCTTCTGAGAGTTAATTAATCTGTAGCACGAAAGCTAAGCGGAAAAACAATTAGTTTGCTGTGGACGGGAACCCGTGCGCGTGCATGTATCAGTTTAGACGTCAATCATACGATCCCAGGCAACATTAATGATGATTCCCGTTTGCACTAGTCGCCACCCTCTGCCCTACAGAACTGTGATAAGCTAAACCTTTCTCAAACCTTTCAGCTGTCGCTTGCACTAAACAAATCGAAAGAAACTTGTAGCCGTGTAAGACCTAGCAGGTAACCGATTCTTACAGGGGGAAATTGCATGAGAAAGAATACAATATTTATCTGAGGATGGGAAACGTGGATGGAATGAAGTGTAATACACTTATCTGAATATCAATTTAGTTTTCACGGGAGACTCACATGTAATTCAGTTGAATCTCTCGTTTATGATGTTCTTCAACTGAAGAGTTTTCAGCAACCTTATGAGTAGCGCATTACGTCTACACGATGTGTAGTTTCGATCTCTACAGCATATAGCTCGTCCTCAACATGGGCATCGATAGCAACACATACGGAACGGAAGTAATCCTTATCTTACAATCGTTTGTATTTTAGTTGATAAAAAAGACGAACAATAGTAAGTAAGGGGGAACAGCCACAAAACTAGCCACTCAACCTGTCAAAGGCTGACAGGAGTATTGTAAATGACTTATCTCGTATGGAATTCAGGCCGGCCGTATCTTGGGAGGTGAGTCAAAGCACCGGTACTCACAGTTCTTGCGAATGCCTAAATATCGGCCTACACAATCACAAGATGATCATTAGTTCTTTCTTTACTCAAAAACCAGCATGCGTATCCGATAGTGAGCTACATCATCCATTCAATAAGTTGGTTCCATTCACAAACTCAGTGCCCAAGAGTACTCGGCTTAGTAAGCTTGTTGCTATCGAAATTCTTTCTGGCAGAAAACCAGAATGCTCGTAGCTTTGTTCTCCTTGTAGGAGCAGTATGCACGCGAAATTGTGATAGGAAATGTCGAGGATAATTTACACACGATATGGGATGAAGATTGGTGGTATAAAAAGTGGAACAGATGCCATATCTATTCGGAATTGTGTTCACTGGTCCTTGATAACTAAGAAACTGGTTACAATGGGACTGACGAGGAAGTGCCTATAGAATGTGAACTGCATACGTTGTGTTCAAGTGTCAAAAGCCTCATTCAATCGACTGCATGAGATGCAGACAGTTGTCTGTTTTAATGGACATCAGAAAGCGCCTCTAAATAACGGTAATAACAACAGGGTGAACAGCGAACCAATACAACCAATACAGGAGGAGGACAATCGAACGACTGAAAATACGCACAGTCCACCCGCTCCCATCAATCCTCGAACATACTGGCTTCAAGGCGTCCAGGTGTGTCGTGAATCACTCCACACCGCTGCGATGTCGTACAGCGTTGCCAAATTCTGCCCATTAGGTTCACGTTGAAAGGTTAGCTATGTAGTTTTGCACACATGTGTCGCTTATTACCAAGGTATGACCACCTGTCTAACGAGCGAAGACGACAAAACGCGGGAGGGAGAATTGCGAGGCAGTTCTACCTAGCCAATTTTGGCATTGCATATTGGTCAAACAATAGTGCAACATGGTCTAGTCCCGAAAGAAGTTTACACAGTACAGTTCGGTTCATAGTGAGTTGATGGAAGAGGTTACATGTTGGGCTACGGGGAAGAAGGTTTACCTCCAAACATAATCAAAGTGTACAGAAAAGAAACTACATAAAGAACGGTCGGAAACCACAAAAGTCCAACTGTGAGGATAGTCAATTCGATATGGCCCATTGGTTAAGGCGCAAATTTACCGACCGGAACCCAACCTCATTATCCGGATTGCTTCTGTCAAAGTTTGGGCAATCTGGCGGTATCTCAGCCCTCGTGCTTCCTTCGGGTGGCGTGGTAGCTAGGCACCGAAAGGGTATCACAACTGAATGGGAATTTAATCAATTCGAGCCTCGACACGACAGTTGTTGCCTACGCAATGGTGATCCGACAGTAGCTCATTCATCTGAGTTTCCTCTGGTTCTCGTGACAGCTATGCATCGAAAAGATAATTTGTTCGGAAAGCAAGGCAACTAACCAGAAAATATGGGGTAGACAACCACATGCTCAGAGAAGAATTCTGAAAAGATGAACCCAAGAAGAATAATCGCTTCGACAACAGAACTAATCCACATTTAGTGTGGACCGAAAGTGTAAACACTGCATAGGACGTCTTGATCAGAAAAATTACTTTTGTACTCCAACGTATGGACAGGTGTAACCGGTCAGTGGTAAAAGTACTTTATGACGAATTTGACTTAAATTGATCACTGCGGCTATCTTAGAAAACGACTGCCAGTTCCATGACTTATGAGCAAATCTTGACCGGTGAACAACAGTAGACACTTGATTTCAAGATGGAAAAGGCCTGGAAAGCTGTGGCAGCAATCAGAATATTAGGTGATAACGCAAGAGCAAAGGCTAACAAGTGTAAAAAAAATCTGGTTAAAGGCCAAACAGTTCTCAAAAGGGATTCATTTCAAAATTCAATCTGAGATAATTCGCCAATCACATGCATAAACAACACCAGTTGAGAGGCTTGGTGACAAATACTTTAAAGGCCAAATAGAATCGGGCCTCTGAAGTCCAAGCCCAGAAGGCTTAACGGTTACCAGATCCTCATGATAGAGTTACGAAGATGTGGTTGAATTTCCCGCTAAATTCGCTCCACGTGTCTTGGATGGACACGTGACCCAAGAATCAGATGGGTTATGTTCTCCCTGTAAATTAAACAGATTCTCTATGGCTTCAGTCCGATCGGGCCAAGATACAACAAGAAAGTGGAGGGGACAAATGGTGTGGAAGCATGTAAGCACGATTATACGCACGTTCATCCGCATCTATCCTTTTTTCATGTCCAGACATCCTGACGTTTTTCGTACGATATCCCGGTAACATTCTTGAAATGCCTCGATTGGAAACTTGAAGTGTTTCGATGGAAATGCAAAGATGACTCAAAGTCAAGTTGAGGCTTTCCAACGGGGGGTGTTCAAACAGTTGCACGTAAGAATGCGCACCTCGAAGGACACCATAGCCTGACGTCCAATTAACTATGAATTTCCACTGAGATACTTCAGATTTCTTGCCAGTTCATCTCAAGAACTGTATGTAAAATCATCTCAAAATGCCGGAGAGTCCCCATATAGATGTACCGACCGAAAATTTACTGCAGGTGTTCTCACGCGAAGAAGTCCTGACATTCTCATAAGATAAAATTTTCAAGATGAATGAACAGAAATATGAGGCTGTCTGGACGTCGAGCTAAAGTATTTCCAGAGGGTTCAAACTGAGTTGTCAACCCTGGAAATTTGCACAGATTTTAATCTTATGTGGAGTGGTCTTCAAATTACTACCGCGGTATCCCAAGTTCTCTGTCAGATTACCTTGATAATTCTATCGAGACAACTCTGACAAACACTGGTAAAGATGTAGGTGCACTGAGAAGTGTCCACAGCTCTGCAATGACTCATGGGTCATCTTCAAGTAAGTGGCCCAATAGTGTCAAAGAAAGCAATGTCGCGACAACCTCAAATTTGATCCAACTCGTCCGAAGTCAAATGTGACGCAAACTGAAGTACTTTCAGCACAATTCATCCATAAAAAGGAAACCGTATTAGTTGTGGAGCCACACACTCCACCACCCCCACATACATTTTTCCGGTGATAAAACGTGAACGCCCTAGGATTCCGGTAGTCTTGAAAAGAGACTGCGTTAATCCCGGACGGGCTGGCGGACCTCAGTATGTCTCACAGTAAACAAACAAACCTCACACTGCTAAGTGCGGAAGGTCTATTGAGTGATATAACCTATCAACTTACGTTGGTTGAAATGGAGAGATGTGACAGCGCCTCTAGATTGGACCAAGAACTGTCCTGTTGTGTTTGCTGGTGTTGTTGAATGGTAGCCGGATTGAAGGGAGCTGCAGAAAACGGATCCGGGAAACTTTGATCTGGCGATGGTGTTTGCAGTTGTGCGATGGAATGTGCGGAGATGGGAGACGTGGCTGTGACGACCGGGCCGGTCAAAGGAACAGGCTGGCTCTGGCTGATGAAATAATTAGGGTTTGTGGTGGGAAAAGTAGGCACCGATGTGGTGGAGGTGGGTTGGCCGAGCGCCTTCATACTTCGGGTGGTTACACTGGGGAAATGTGCGGAGATGGGAGACGTGGCTGTGACGACCGGGCCGGTCAAAGGAACAGACTGGCTCTGGCTGATGAAATAAATAGGGTTTGTGGTGGGAAAAGTAGGCACCGATGTGGTGGAGGTGGGTTGGCCGAGCGCCTTCATACTTCGGGTGGTTGAGGACACTGGGGAAGAGCCGATAAACGGTTCCTCAAAGTCAGGACTGGGCTCTTCGGGAATAACATCGCCTGAATGAACCGATTCGGTAGAAACCGGATGAAACCAAATCAAATGAGTAAAATCAACTTTGAAAAGTGAGTTGCGCAGAACAATCAGGTGAGATAGAGAAGCTAATGGGGGGATATAAAAAACCATTATGGGTGATTGTCCAGAGGGGCTTGTGTAGACGCACCTGCACCAGATCCTGGTGATTGGTAGACAAACGTCACAAAAAATCACAGTGAAACCCGTGTGAACAACCAACGAGGCAGTCCGGCTCGATTGCAGCTGCTATAGCCATTGTTGCGAGAAAAGATTGAGTGAGATGAGAAACATGCATTAAGAGTGCTACAGCCCTCAGCAACTGAAAGGGAAATTTTCTGACAAGGATCGTCATGTAGACATAATGATCCACTCCTTCTCACTGCTGATTTTTGGGGAGAAATCAAGTTCATGTTCGCTTTTCGCCTCTCATTCAACTATATCTCTATCAACATCAGTCCTAGATGCTCCAGCCCGTCATGACCATGAGCAAAATTTGCCAGTCCGTTCCTCTGGTCGACATGTCGAAGTCCATAGGTTCGAATCGTAGCTAACCTCTCTTCAAAACGTACTCTAGAATTCAGTTCAAATGTCGCTCACCACTTCCCCTATCCAAAGTTACTGGTGAAGCATCCTCTTCATGAGACGTTTCACATGAATTCCATATCTCCGAATATGATTCCCTTCACGACGCAGATGATTACCACCTCAATTCAATCCCTCCTATTTTTTACTCTATCTATCTATCTATCTATCTATCTATCTATCTATCTATCTATCTATCTATCTATCTATCTATCTATCTATCTATCTATCTATCTATCTATCTATCTATCTATCTATCTATCTATCTATCTATCTATCTATCTATCTATCTATCTATCTATCTATCTATCTATCTATCTATCTATCTATCTATCTATCTATCTATCTATCTATCTATCTATCTATCTATCTATCTATCTATCTATCTATCTATCTATCTATCTATCTATCTATCTATCTATCTATCTATCTATCTATCTATCTATCTATCTATCTATCTATCTATCTATCTATCTATCTATCTATCTATCTATCTATCTATCTATCTATCTATCTATCTATCTATCTATCTATCTATCTATCTATCTATCTATCTATCTATCTATCTATCTATCTATCTATCTATCTATCTATCTATCTATCTATCTATCTATCTATCTATCTATCTATCTATCTATCTATCTATCTATCTATCTATCTATCTATCTATCTATCTATCTATCTATCTATCTATCTATCTATCTATCTATCTATCTATCTATCTATCTATCTATCTATCTATCTATCTATCTATCTATCTATCTATCTATCTATCTATCTATCTATCTATCTATCTATCTATCTATCTATCTATCTATCTATCTATCTATCTATCTATCTATCTATCTATCTATCTATCTATCTATCTATCTATCTATCTATCTATCTATCTATCTATCTATCTATCTATCTATCTATCTATCTATCTATCTATCTATCTATCTATCTATCTATCTATCTATCTATCTATCTATCTATCTATCTATCTATCTATCTATCTATCTATCTATCTATCTATCTATCTATCTATCTATCTATCTATCTATCTATCTATCTATCTATCTATCTATCTATCTATCTATCTATCTATCTATCTATCTATCTATCTATCTATCTATCTATCTATCTATCTATCTATCTATCTATCTATCTATCTATCTATCTATCTATCTATCTATCTATCTATCTATCTATCTATCTATCTATCTATCTATCTATCTATCTATCTATCTATCTATCTATCTATCTATCTATCTATCTATCTATCTATCTATCTATCTATCTATCTATCTATCTATCTATCTATCTATCTATCTATCTATCTATCTATCTATCTATCTATCTATCTATCTATCTATCTATCTATCTATCTATCTATCTATCTATCTATCTATCTATCTATCTATCTATCTATCTATCTATCTATCTATCTATCTATCTATCTATCTATCTATCTATCTATCTATCTATCTATCTATCTATCTATCTATCTATCTATCTATCTATCTATCTATCTATCTATCTATCTATCTATCTATCTATCTATCTATCTATCTATCTATCTATCTATCTATCTATCTATCTATCTATCTATCTATCTATCTATCTATCTATCTATCTATCTATCTATCTATCTATCTATCTATCTATCTATCTATCTATCTATCTATCTATCTATCTATCTATCTATCTATCTATCTATCTATCTATCTATCTATCTATCTATCTATCTATCTATCTATCTATCTATCTATCTATCTATCTATCTATCTATCTATCTATCTATCTATCTATCTATCTATCTTCTATCCTATCTATCTATCTATCTATCTATCTATCTATCTATCTATCTATCTATCTATCTATCTATCTATCTATCTATCTATCTATCATCTATCTATCTATTTATTTATTTATTTATCTGTAGATCTAATTGTCTTATTCAGAACGACCTTGTGCGTGATCATAAGTGCAATGCCCTCGTGCGCGACCAACAATATGGATTTAGGCGCTACCCTTCCACCGACCGGCACATGTTTATCCCCTCCGGTCATCTGCCCTAGAGTCCTCTGATGAAACTGAATTCATCTATCTAGGTATTCCGAAGGCCTACGGTCGCATATGGTATAGGAGTCTCCTCGGCAAACTACTCAGGTATGGCCCCAACCCATTTTGACCGGCTGGATAGCAAAAGTTGTGAAAAAAATCGATTCCCACGAGTCCAGTTCCAAGTTGTTGTTTCTCACGTGAACAGCGCCGACGCTGCAGTCCGTTCTATTTTCAATCATTTATTTACTGTCCACGGATGAGTTAGTTTCATCCACAACTAAATGCCTTCGTGCATTTGCATCCCCCGCTCGTCCCAGAAATGTACTCTTCACTACCCGCGCGATTTCCACTAAGCGACGACTGCGTGCGAGATCATCAGCTCATTGAAAGCTGATAAGTTTGGTCGAGTTGGTTTGAACTGCCGTAAATGATAGTATAGGAAGGCCACATACCCACACCAGTGTCTTTAAGCCTTTGGCACGCGAGAGTTCACTTGCAAGTGTTAAGGGTTTCCGGATGTCCGCCTTTGTCCGTCAAAATCTCTCATCGCTGTTCAACTGACTCGAACCGTGGGGATGCAGATGACACCTAGTTCCTGTCGCTTGGCTAACAGAACAGACTGGGCGTACAGTGGTACAGGTCACTTTCAACTTTCAACCCGAGAGGTGGGTTCTCAAGCTAAGAGATGGGTGAAGAGGCGACTCAAACAACTGGTGCACAACCTTCCCCATGGCAGTGTGGCGGCTAACTGGTAAGAATAGTGAGCAGGTATGAGTGTCTAAACCTAAGTATTTCATTGTTAAATAGGGGGGAATTATGGTCCCAACACCAAGCGCACTTTAGAGGTATACAATAATCAATATATCACCATCCTATCCACTATGGATTTAATTCGCGATAGAAACTGAACCGAATGCAGGCAATACCCATTGCATTAAGCTACGCTCCCGTGTCGTTACTTTACTGGCGTGATCACACCTCTATCACCTGACAACCGGTGACAATCTCAGAAGTTGGTCAGTCATCAATATTGTTCTTACTCTCCATTGCATTGAGTTGGTTCAAAAACACAAAAAATTGACCTTGGTAATTGTGCTGTTCTGACAATGTGCAGAAAAACGTGACCTGTAGGACGCACGAAAGCAGTAGCCGAGAAATCGAGATATGAAACACGAACCTTTAGCTAGAAGTGCACTACACAATCTCTCAAGGTCCATTTAGTCATAGACAAATCGGTGGACACCATCAAACGGATAAACCAGCACTTGATGAAACAGGGTCACAGAAAGCTTCATTGCATGAGGGATAAAAAAATCCGGCACGCTGCCTAACACGAATAGTGTGTCAGCGAGCGGGAGGCCTGGTTCTCATAAACGGTTTACAGCACCCTCGACATCTTCCATCCTTCCGGAGTCCGCGCTAACCACCGTATCTAATGAGTTTTTAATTGTATTTGTATTTGTAAAGTAAGCAATCGTCTTGATGTGGTTCAAGTAGCAATGATAGCTCTACTGAACAGACATCACTGCGAGGACTTTTCTGTGGGCACTGTATATGTGGGTGAACGAAAAAGAAAGCACAAAAGATGATGACTGAGTGTCCACGAATGTCAACAGTGAGGGTAGCTTTATTTGTGTTTCACAAGTCAATTTATACCATGGGACTAATTGTATCGGTTGGAACATGTCAAACGATTGACTAGTTCTACAGAATTGACTGAGAATCCATAATCTGGATATCACTGGAACAGCAAGAGGACAAATAGCACGTGATATTGGAGTCATATCTACCTTCGAAGTGACAGTGTCTCCCTCCCTCACGTGAAACAGTGTTCTTTTCCATTTCGGTCTCTCTCTCTCTCCCATAGACGGTGTACGCTTTGAGTCAGCGACCGATTAAAGCAAACGATGTGTTAACATCCGCAGTGAAATAGGCTGACGGCAATATGTTTCATAATTAAGACGTGAAAAAACAACGGGTGTAACTTCTGGTTGGTTGTCCTGATCCAGATCAGTACGACTCTAAAAAATCACAGAGTTTAAGGATGATGCGGGATCAGAGATACTCTTGTATGTGTTTCAATCAAATTGTCCACCATTTATTTCGCCAAGGAGAAGTAACGTGACACACACTGCTTTAGATATTCAGTCAGTAAGTGCTCGAAGGAAAAACCATCAAAGCAGAGGAAGGCCGGTCCCTGGAGAATTCCCACAACAATGGCACTCACCAAGCACGAGTGAGCCTCCTCTCCCAGGAGAGACTAATCGCGGCGAAATGTTCTCTCTCCCGAGGAGATCATCGTACATTAGTATACTCAGTACTCGCACTCTAGTACCCGAATAGGGAAACCAAGTGAATTCAGTCGTGTGTGAAAGATTGTCGTACTGAGGAAGGATGAACAGCTTAACGGTTGCGAGTGTCGCGCGCAGCCACATGAGCACCTACGACGGAGTGGTAGAATTGTTAGACAGAGGCGATACCGTGTCAGTATACGGCAGAATGAGCGGAAAATCTTGGAGACTGAGGCACCTAACAGAAAGGTATGTGACTCGGATTCACCGTTGACTTCTCGGACTCTCCTATCATTGTCTAAGCCACATCTCAATTCGCCCGAATGGTGTGACATCCAGGCACCAGAAGGATGACATATCTTCACAAAGTAAAGAGCGGACACTACAGCATGTTCAACAGCTTACTTCGCTTTACTTTACTGCAGTTTGTGTACTTCGGTACGGAAATTCCGCGCGCCTTAAAACTAAATCAGTAAAAGCAGTCAGATAAGGTGTATCTGTGGACATTAGCTTCATCTCATCAGTTTCACTGGGGACAAAGTATTCGAGTGGGGCTGATAAAAGACGAATAAGATAATTTGGGTCATTTCCAGTTTTCGCGTTAGTGCCCTGAATATTGTGACACGGTGAGCTTTACAGAATATAGTAACTCTTCTCCAAAAGTTCGTTTTTCATACCATGAACGGCCGACAGACCAGTTTGTGTACTGAATAAAGTACGGGAGAAGACAGCACCGGCTTGCCATCATCGTGTGTGGTGACAATGTCTTGTTCCAAGTTTTTGCCGAGTTACAGCGTCCAAACTACTCCTCATGCAGTTCAGTAAAGGAGCTCCATCCGATCATTCGGTTTAGCCGATAAGTCTTTTAACGGATGACAGTCATTAAGTTACACACAGCTCCGTTACTGGACGATGATACTCCGATATTTCTGTTGAAACTGGTGACGAGCATAATCGGATGGACCAAGTGGTTAGAGCGCGAATTTACCGACCGGAAGGTCCGTGGTTCGAACCCGACCTCTGCCACTAGACTTCCCCTGTCTAGGCTTGGGCTACCTGGCAGTATCCCAGCCCTCGTGCCTCCTTCGTGTGGCATGGCAGCTAGGCACCGAAAGAGTGCTACAGCTGGACGATAATCAGATGAAGTTGTACCACGGAGTTCCACACTGCCTGCAGGTTAGTGCATAGGGCTTCTGATGGGCATGGAGTTGTACGGAGAAGAATTCCAAAGCAACGATACCAATCCAGCGTTTAAGATATGGTTGAACATCCATGTCATTGAAGGGACCTAAGTTACTGTTTGCGAAGTTGACTCATCCAATAGTCCAACAACCTGTACGGACTAATGCTAGGCACGACGTTGAAGTCTACGGCTATCATGTTAATACGACACTATTTTTCACAATAACTCCTAGCTCCCCTTTAAAAAAATGGAACCATGGTGAAAGGTCTTTATCTCACCAGCACCGTATTATATTCCAAACAGTTAATAGTAGTTTTCAAAAACGGTTACCGTAGTCTCTGTGGGAGCATTTAAAATTACTGGCGAGTAACTGAGATTTGATTCGTTTGAAGAGTCCCCGTACTATCCTGTTATTCCGGTTAACAAACATCAGAAAGTGGAAGTCCAGGAATTGATTTACGCTCTTACTGGAGATTGTCAGCAATGTATATGCAATAGAATCGTCCAGCTCAGCGAACAAATCAACGATAGTGCATGCCCCTGCCAGCGCTTGCCTGACTTGAGGTGCCGACAAGAAAGACAAGCTTCCACTACACCAATAGTGCACGGTCAACAAACCCGAATTGAAACATCTTAACGGGTGTAAAAGTTCCAATTTTGGTACATGTAGTTAGACGATGGCCCGGCGGATGTGTTGATTTGCCGCCGCACCTGCCAGGATGTCCCAGTCACGTAGCGTCACGGATAGTACGAGGGTGCGCTGGTGGATTCGTGGTCGCACGCTGGCCTTGGATCTCATAGGTTCGGGGTTTGAACCCCGAAACGACCGAAGATACGCACCGCCGACGAGCTCCAATAAGGGTGAAACTCGCCGACATTGGTCCTCACAACTAAGAGAAATCAGACTGATGTGATACAGATATGCTGTGATTTGATTGAGGTCTTAGGTTTGATATATGAGAAAGAACTGGCAGATAGGAGAATGTCATGCGCAGGAACCGTGTGAATGGAGTGAGAGAAAATCCGAAAACTAGGATCAGAAAATCGTTCGGCATAATTCAGCCGAAGGGCAAATTGCAGATGTTGTTTGGCCATTCATAAGTAAACAAGATAGCTGCGCAATAGAAGCGCAATTTGACTAAATAATTAGCAGCAGAATCAGTAAAGCATATCGATTGTGTCAGTGAAAATAAAACACCAGAAATGCTGGTCAAACAAGGACTTTACAAACTTTGCTCTGCTTACCATTAGTGACCCGCGTGAGACGCTGAATATTGGATGGGAGCTGTTCCAGTCGAAGTGAAAGGTCACGTTTGAAAGGACTGGTGGCTTGCAGTTTGGGAAAAAGCCGTAGTGAACCCTATGAAAGGTGAGAACGATAAACGACAAGTTAGCCAACATAAATGGTACTTCGAAACAAACACTGTATGAACCGCACACTAGTTCTCGTATGATTAGGGCGCGGGATTCAGGCTTCGTAGGG